GTTTGTCTTCACACACATACTTGTGTCCTGCAAGGATTTACCGGAACAACATGTTCATAGATAGATAGGTGTCTGTGTGTGTGTCAAGGAAAATCAGGGCACTTGCATGGCACCGGTTGCACGCTATGTTTTGATATGTTTTGAAATGTGCTCGTTTCCGTCCAATGTGTGCGTTAGGGATGCCAGGCGCCCTGGGAGTGAGTCTGGCAGAGTTTGGAGGAGGTTTGCGCTGTCAAATTGCTTGAACAACATGCAGAATAATTTTTTGGATGCTTTTGTCATGAATGACTTTTCAATAACTTTGAAGCATGGGATCTTTTTATTGCAATTGCCAGTGTGAGAAGGTATATCAGATTACAGAAAAACATTTAGACATACAGATTCCATGCAACTACATTGGATGTACAATTACATTGGTTAACAAACAAACAAAGGGGAGTTGCATTTTCACTCAACACTCACACCCACATGTACACGCATTCATCCACATGCATCCAAATATTACCATATCCTTTTCTCCCTCCTTGGAGGAGCACCTCTTAGGCCAGACCCTGATTTCCTGCAGCCTGCCAACGCATACTTCCATAACGCCATAACTTCAAAATGCCAAAGCTTCTTCCCTAAGAACAATGCCAAGGACCAGATCTCTGTTTTCCATACAACAGGACCTGACTCCCTGCACAAAATCTAAGACTCCAAAAGCGCCTTCCTTCTTCCTCTTCCCTTGAGAGAGAAGCCCCAAAGTGACCAGACTGCTCCTGTGCAGATCTGCCACTCTCCGAATACACCATTCCTGTCCTTCCCATGGAGCAGAGCATGGCGGGTGAACAGTGTCTCTGTCTGTCACACTTTGAGCATTATTAGGCTGAGCCTTTTATAGGCATATTCTATCGATGTCGTCCCAAAGTTGTAAATTAATGATAGACGTCTTCCGTCCTGGCTTCCATCTCAGTGTTGATCTTTTTGATTGGTGTTAACAAACACAAGGCTTGTGTTGACTTCCTTCTCAACATAAGGAAGGTTGCAAACATTTCCTTTATCGCTCTCCCAGTTCTTACCAGGGTTTCTCATTAGCAAATCCAGCAAGCAGGTAGTTAGTGATTGCAGGCCTTCATATTTTACTGATGTCTCCAAAATCATTCACTCCATTCATACATCCTTCCATTCATTCCCACACATCATATTAAATTCACATTTATCAAATTTGCACATTCAATTTCTTATTACACTTTGACATCCAAAGACAGCTGGAATGTGTCCAGAGGAGGGCGACTAAAATGATCAAGGGTCTGGAGAACAAGCCCTATGAGGAGCGGCTTAAGGAGCTGGGCATGTTTAGCCTGAAGAAGAGAAGGCTGAAAGGAGATATGATGAGAGCCATGTATACATATGTGAGAGGAAGCCACAGGGAAGAGGAGAGAGCAAGCTTGTTTTCTGCTTCCCTGGAGACTAGGACACAATGGAACAATGGCTTCAAACTACAAAAGAGGAGATTCCATCTGAACATGGTTCACCGAACATGGTTCACCGAGGAGCTGGCAGCAATGAAGCGAAGGAAGAGGGAACTAGAGAGTGTGTGGCGTTCGGATCCGAGTGAGCCAAATCGAACACGGTTTGTGTCCTTTTTAAGGGCATATGCCGTGGCAATAAAAGCCGCAAAGAAGGCCTTCTTTGCGGCCACTATTGTGTCTGCAAAGAATCGTCTGGCTGAGCTGTTCCGAATTGTCAGAGGCCTTTTAAATCCCTCCGCTCAAGGTGGGAACCCTGACGATTCAACTTCTTGCAGTGAAGCTTTTGCTCAGTTCTTTGCAGACAAAGTCGCTTTGATCCGTTCTGGTCTGGATACCATGTTAATGGCAGTCTCTGAGGATGTAACACGAGCACCTGCTTGTCCAGTTTTGATGGATTCATTTCAATTGGTGAAACCCGAGGATGTGGACAAGATACTTGGAGGAATGAGGCCAACCACATGCATCCTGGACCCCTGCCCATCCTGGCTTCTAAAGGAGGCCAGAGGGGGATTGGCTGAGTGGGTTAAGGTGGTAGTTAATGCTTCCCTTCGGGAAGGCAAGATTCCAGCGAGCTTAAAACAAGCTATAATAAAACCGCTGTTGAAGAAACCATCACTGGACCCCACTAAATTCGACAACTATCGGCCAGTTTCCAATCTCCCCTTCTTGGGCAAAGTCTTGGAATGTGTGGTGGCCTCACAACTCCAGGTATTCTTGGTAGACACAGATTATCTAGACCCGGCACAGTCTGGCTTTAGGCCGGGACATGGTACCGAGACAGCCTTGGACGCCTTGGTGGATGATCTGCGCCGGGAGCTCGACAGGGGGAATGTGTCCCTGTTGGTGCTGCTTGACCTCTCAGCGGCCTTCGATACCGTCGACCATGGTATTCTTCTGGGACGCCTCGCGGGGATGGGTCTTGGAGGTACTGTTCTGCAGTGGCTCCGGTCATTCCTAGAGGGTCGATCTCAGAAGGTGTTGGGGGACACCTGTTCACCCCCACAACCATTGTCTTGTGGGGTTCCTCAGGGCTCAATATTGTTTCCCATATTGTTTAACATCTGCATGAAGCCGCTGGGGGAGATCATCCGGAGTTTCGGGGTACGGTGTCATCTGTACGCG